AAATTTGACTCAATAGTTCTAAAGCTTTTCTGGGAGGAAAAAAATTCAAAAATAGGAATATTTTGAAAAAGAAGAGTCAGTAGAGGGATGATTTGTTCTAGTACATAATTAAACCACATTATCAAACTACACTGAATAAAAGTGTGGATGCTGGGGTATACACAAATAGACTCAAGTCTAAAATTAAACTTGTGTTTATACAAAAACAAAGAGCATAATAAGATGGCATTTCAACTATGTGGGGAAAAAATGGACTATTCAGTAGTTTGGGGGTAAGTGGCTCCCCATACAGAAAAGAAAACTAACTTGGATCTCTACCTCACACTACAAACTTAATTCCAGATAGATTTAAAAGTTAAACAAACAAAAAAGTATTCTAAGAAAAGAGAAGTAATTTTATATAATCTTATATTAGAGAAAATACATATAAGCTGAAACTCAGAAATCTATACAAAGGAAAATATTAGGTTGGATTACAAATTTTTTTTTAATTTTATAAAGCAAACACCATGAAGAAAGTTTAAAAACAAATAACAAAATAAAGCACTATATTTGGCACACAATCTATATGCGGTTCTTATAAATCAAAAAGACATTCTGTGGTTGGCTGCCATCTTGCAGGTGTTCCCCTTCTTTGCTGGCAAAGTCCACTTCCCACTAAAGAGGCTAAAAGAGTGAGACCTCTCCTTCCCAGCCATTTGTCACAACCAGAGAGAGTGCATATGGCCCAATCTTGACAATGGAAATTGACAGGGCCTTCAATGAAAAGTCCCTTGGGACCGTCCACAAAATGTTTTTCTTTCCAATAAAAAGAAATACAAAAGAGGAAATTTTCTTTTTCTTTTCTTTTCTTTTTTTTGTCTTTTGGATGCAATACAGTCTATATGTAAGGTGTCTGTAATTGCCACAGACCCTTGTAACTCTCAGGGAAGACAGGGCCAACACAATGGGAAAAAAAAGATGGAAAATATCAGGATCTTTGATGACATTGTTGACCACTTCACCAAAACCCTGGAACTGGCCAGGATTTCATCATTTGCTTTATGACACAATAAATACACTTGCTAAAAAGAAAAAAAAGAAAAAAAGAAATTCTGACAAGAAAACAAACAAAAATGTGTAAACACAAAAAAAGTCAAACAGTCAAAATCCACACATTAAAAAATGTTCAATCTCACTAGTAATCTGGAAAATGCAAATTATAACATAATACTATTTTTCACCTATCAGATTTTAAAAGATTTAAAGATTAACTTTATTCAGTGTTGGAAAGATATGAAGAAAAAGGCACTCTTATTCACTGTTGGAAGTATAAACTGGAATCATTTAGAGGGGAATACAATTTAGCAGTATTTATCAAACATTTTGATAGGCATAAATTTGGTCAAGAAATTCTACTTCTAGGAATTCATTTCAGAGGAATACACATATTCAATTATATACATAATTATCATTGCTATCATTGGTTATCATTGCAACACTGTTGAAATAATGAAAACTTAAAAACAAACTATCAATGGAGAAGCAATTAAATATTGTGTAATATGGCACATATAAATTTTGGTACATCTTTATTATGGAATATCTACGGCTGTTAGAATGAAGACTTTGGGTGGAAATGTAAAATGGTGCAGCCATATGGAAAAATGCAGGGAAATTCCTCAGAAAATTAAAAACAGAACTACCATATGATCCAGCAATCCCACCTCTGGGTATATAACCAAAGGAGCTGAAAGCAGGATCTCAAAGAGAGATTTGCATACCACGTTCATAGCAGCACTACTCACAATAGCCAAGAAGCAGAAGCAACCCAAATATTTTATCAACAGATGAATGGATGAACACAATATGGTATATACATACAACGGAGTATTATTCAGCCTTGAAAAGGAATGAAATCCTATCACATGCTACGACATAGATGAACCCTGAGGAAATTAAGTCAGTCTAAATGATAAATACAAATATTTTACTTATACAAGGTATACAAAGCAATCAAAATCATAGAAACAGAAAGCAGAATGGTTGCTGCCAAGAGCCAAAGGGAGGAGGAAATAAAGAATTGTTATTCAAGGGTACAGAGTTTCAGTTTTGTAAGATGAAAAAGTTCTAGAGACCCACAGCACAACAACGTGAATATACTTAACACTACTGAACTGAGCACTCAAAAATGATTAAGATGGTAAATTTTATGTTATGTGTTCTTTTAAACCATAATTTAAAAAAAAAAAGAGTAAGGACTACACTGACATGAAATATCTCTAAGACATTATTTAGTAAAAAAAACAAGCTATGGAGAAATATGTAGAGTATAATTCCATTAATATAAAAAAATAAAAACTAAAATATAACACACACACTAGACCCAAAGAAAAGGTCTAGAAAGAGACATCAAAATGTTAAGTGATAACCTTTGCTAAGAAAAATAAGACAGATCAGAAATAGCGTACTTCTATATTGTGTACTTCTACATTGCTTGAAGTTTTTACATCAAGCATATATTCCTATACTACCTGTGTAATTAGAAATGTGTTTAAATCAAGAACAGAGGGGACAAATAGAGGAAAAACAGCAGGATGACAGATTTAAATTTAACCAATAATTGTATTAAATGCAGCTAGACTAAACCAGGTGTCAGCAAACTACAGCCCACAGCCTGATTTTTAAAGGCCCATTACCTGAGAAGGCTTTTTATATTTTTACAGAGTTGTGATAAAT